TAAAATAGACTAGATCGTACCGGCTTGAATCTGTGAATATTGAGTATATTGATGCACAATTAGTCAATATATTAGCAAATGCCAATATATGCTCGCGGAAGTGAATTACACATGATTACATTTCTAAAATTCTAGATACCTATAGACACGTCTTAGCTATACTCTGTGAATATTGAGTATATTGATGCACAATTAGTCAATATATTAGCAAATGCCAATATATGCTCGCGGAAGTGAATTACACATGATTACATTTCTAAAATTCTAGATACCTATAGACACGTCTTAGCTATACTCTGTGAATATTGAGTATATTGATGCACAATTAGTCAATATATTAGCAAATGCCAATATATGCTCGCGGAAGTGAATTACACATGATTACATTTCTAAAATTCTAGATACCTATAGACACGTCTTAGCTATACTCTGTGAATATTGAGTTTATTGACGTACGATTAGTCTAATTATTAGCAAATATATGCGTACCGTAATCTCCCGTACCAGCTTGAATATAGACACCCCCCATAATCTTTACATAGCTGCCCAGGGGCGCCATCTATCAAGTAAAATTGGTATTAAAATTTTGACCAAATTTCACCTACAACCTACATTGAGCACGAATTATTCCACAGCCAAGCAGGTAACACTAGAGCTGTAGACACTTGATCAAACTCCATAAACAGTAGTAACTGTTTATAGGTATACTCAACCCAGTATACTACTTCCAAGTTGCAATGCATAACAAAAGGCAAACACTATAACTTGCATAATCCTTTATATTTTTTTATTCTCGTATGCCCTACTTACAGAAATTTTTACTTCGCCTTCCCAGGTAGGAGAATGCCATCGTACTGAAAATAAAGAACAAAGATATAAATTTTAGGTACCTTATGTCATACATACTGACGCACGTGCTCGCACAAATATATATACAAGAACGAAATTAACGCGAGTCCGGAGTCAAATACTCCCTGAAACTTCTGCTATACTAACTAGGTCGTTCGAGAGTTTGGCCTCGCGGAATTGCCGTATTTTTTCGGCAAATGTTCAAAGACAATTTGGCAGACGTGCAACCGCACGAATCTTCAAAATAAGCATGTGCATTATTGTTAATACGTTTAGTTTTAAACTTCAGACTGCGAACTTCCTCTTTTTGAGGGCATGGAAGTCCGTTGGACTCTCTTGTTCAAAAGTTAATTTCTACCCCTGCAAGTGTGCTCTGGAAATTCAGAAAGGGGGTATGCCTATTTCAATCTGAGAGAATCCTATTAGATCTATAACAAAATATGATTAAATCATATCTATGTGAATCAGTGCAAAAATGGAAAAATACTGGGTGGACAGAAACACAAGTTGGGTGAAAGTGATTTTACATACATATAATAAATTCTTTAATTCTCTTCTTAAAAAAAGGAAAATTTACAGCAGCATGGACAGCCTCTTCTCGCTATTATTTGGGCCAGAGCTTTTAATATAATGACTTTTAATGATGCATGGAAATCATGTTGCATTTTGATGGTGCATTAGGAAATAGAAGCATTTTAATCAATTGGCACTTTTACTGGTTTTGGAGCTACAAGTTTTCTAGCTTTGATCATCATACCAATCCTCAGTTTTCTCGTTTTTATGTGTTAATTACAAATACCAGACAACACACAACTTGGTACATGGGAGGTATGGAACTGGCAAGGAAACATTGCTATGCACTCAAAAATCTTTTTGAATCTCCAGTGTGAATGAAATGTTCAAAATGACATTGTTATAAGCTATAACAATTACTTGCCTTTTGTTGGAACCACTTCATTGCATCATCCTTGACGAGTTTGTGTGGAAAACCAATTGTACCCCGTTTGTGTTTCCTATGGGCAACATTGTATCCGGGACGGCCAAGCACGACATAGAAATCCAATCCGTAGATACCAATGCTGGGGTCATACTTGATGCCCAAATCGATGTGTTCTTGGATGCCAAACCCAAAATTGCCAGTGTGGGAGAAGTTCTCTTTTCTTAACTCGTACTCCCGAACCTGAAAGCAAACAATGTCTAAAAGTTAGTGTTGTCCATCGGTTGTAATTTCGTAATCGATCATCGGTTGGACCCAAGTAACCGATGATCGGTTACAATCGGTTACTTCGGGGTGTTGATGCCTGTCTGTCGTAACGTCTCGTGCATTATGTTATGTTGCTTGTTTAGCCTGTTTACTGTTTGTTTTGGCACTGTTTACTACTGTGTGTATAATACATTATTGTTAATAAAGAATAACTTGTATAGTAGCGATGATATCTGTGATTCTCATCACTTTTTTTCAATTATTTTTTTTTTGATGAAATTGATTATGGATTTTGATAACCAAGCGCTTGGTTCGAGCCACTGTTCAATCGATGATCGAGTATAATCGATAATCGTGACATCACTACTAAAAGTGCATACGTTTGCCTAAAAAACCAACCCTTACAATGTTAACTTTTGAAAGATTTGCAAACAGTAAGAATCACCTTGTGTAAAAATTTAGTGGGTATTATATTTTTTGTGACTTGTGTGATCAGATGTAGCTTGTAGAATATGAGGCCATTGTATTTTAATTAGCAGACACACATAAGACTACATCGCCTTCAAATAAAATAAAACATCTTTAAAAAGATAGCAGTAGTCAGTTGTTTACGATAATAATTACCTCTCATTACCAAGTAATGTAAAAAAAGCGAGAAAATCTTTGTTCTAAATCTATTAAATAATACAAGATGTAGAGGGACTAATTGCAGGAACATGCACATTTTATAAGCTGCGCAGTGCACTTGTAGGTCAAACTGCATTATGCCATATGGCATAGTACTAGGGCTGTAACGATACACAAGCCTCTCGATTCGATCCGGTTCTCGATATTAGCCTCTCGATTCGACTCCTTCGATTCGATTCCCAAAATATTGAAATATTATCTTATTTTTTATATTTTCATTATTTTGCAATAATAAATTATTAGAAATTGCCAATGAATACTAAATGGTGAATAGACTAGATAGTCTAGAGAGTATATATACACTGCACAGTCGCTGAGTAACATTGGTGAGTAACACCAGAGCATATAAATCAAGTGATTTATATGCTCTGGTAACACTCCACAGTATATATAGCGTAGTGCCGCCATCTATTGGAGAAAAAAAGTGGTATCGAAGTGGAATCGAAAATACGGGGAAAAATATCGAGGATCGGATCGAGGGAAGAGAATCTCGATCCGATCCAATTTCGGTGGATCGTTACAGCCCTACATAGTACATTAGATGTATCTCAGATAACCCATCCAAAATGTTGGCAGGTAGCTATGCATTTGGTATGTAAATTTTATTTATGACAATAATTTAGCATGCCACTTTTCTGTAACATAACCTACTCGATCTTTTGAAAAATTTCATGAGGGTGGCTTTATGCTTCTTATCCCGAGTTTAGTGATTATAAATGAGAAATTAAGTGTGAGCGAGTTGTAACCCAAGGTGTGGTCATAAAATACAAATTACATATGGGCGAATTAACGTAAGCAGAGTGTAGTTGTAACATAAGATATTGCAGTACTATAACAACAGATTAGGTAATTTCTTCGAGACAGATATAAAACAGTGTAATACCTTCAATCCTCTTTCCAAAATTTCCTCAGCTTTAGCACCCCTGACTGTGCAATGGACAGCAATTTTCTCATTTCTTCTGATGCCGAAAGATCTCACAGTGTACCGAGCTATATAAAAACACCAGTATATTATTATTATATTCTATATGCAGGGTGTGAAATTAACGTGAGTCCGGAGTCAAATACTCCCTGATTTACTGTCGGATTCCCTGATTTGACATATATGCAGGTGTGACTCCACCGTGTGACACATATATGGTGTCACACCGTGTGACACCATATATGGTGTGACTCCACTGGAAATTCAGCCATACTAACTAGTTCGTTCCAGAACACGGCCTCGCGGAATTACTGCATTTTTTCAGCTAATGTCCAAAGAAAATTTGGCAGACGTGCAACTGCACAAATCTTAAAAATAAGCACATGCGTTATTGTTAATATCTTTAATTTTGAACCTCAGACTGCGGACTCCCTCATTTTGCGGTGGACTCTCTCTTTTTGAGAGTAGGGAGTCCGTTGGACTCCCTTGTTAAAAACTAAATTTCTACCCCTGTATATGGATCACACAACTACAGGGATGTGCCCAAAACATGTTATGTAGTAGGCAGTATAAGGGCAGGCATGATATCAACAAATTTTTTAGTCATTTAAAGAGAACATGCTACCACAGACACACAGATCTCCGTGTACAAAGCACGCAGCATAGAAGCCTGTATGTTTAACAAAATTAGGACGATTAGTCGATATTGTAATTTATGGCGCACATCCAGAGGTTTTAATTACACGTTCATTACAGCACACCCCCTCACATTCCTGGAGCTTGAAATATTATTTTACCAACCAAGTTGTAAGTCAAGCTACTTTGGTGGTTTCAGTAGCACTAAAGGCGAGCAGAGGGCACTTTTATGACAGTTATTGGTGGGAGCATGGGTGCTGGCTGGGTTTACGTGGGAAACCTTTAACTTCTATAAAAAAGCTATTTTGTACAAGCAGTTTTTTCCTAATTTTTAACCCATGTAAATGTCAACCAAGGGAAATTTCAATTAGGGAGGTTAACTTGTAACCATGCAGTGCTTATCAACACAGTGCAGTTAGATAATTCAATACCTTTTGAGAAAACAGGCTGTTGACCAGTGAGCTGCTCCAGCACCTTTGCAGCACGGGTAAGCCTATCACCACTTTCACCCACACAGATGTTTAGGCAAAGCTTCCGGATCCGAACCTCTTTCATAGCATTCTGCTTCTTGCCTTCATCTCGTTGCTGGAACAATGCCATAAGAGTTGCTTATTACACAATCAATAAATTATAGTCAATTGTTTCTCAACTAGTTAAAAATCCTAAAACCCGGGGGCCGTTGTCAGAAACATCGTAAAGTTAATGCTAAAGTAATGCTACGATAAACTTAACGACTAAAACTGCTAATTGTTGCAAGACTACGGAGCAAGAACACCATCGCAGCTATTAAAAACTTAGCGAATAACATGAACTTCATCACAAAGGCTGCTGATTGATGAGAATCGTCACAAAATCAAAGTTCATACACAGTTTATGTAGCATCACACGTAATTTATGGCATATTATGATGGCTAACCACATATAAATATAATATATGTGAAAAAATGACGAGTGCGCATGAATTTATTCTGCACAACAAGAACAAAATTGCTCAAACTGTAAACGCGAGACCGAGAGTTGTGGGCAAGCATGGTAAACATTAAAAACAACGAGAACAAATGGCCAATACGCCATTTGTAAAATGTATTGTTTTGCTGTTTAAGCAGTTAGTATAATTAATAGATTTTGCGGTGTGTTTCAAGACAAACACTATTTTTAATTCCATTATTATATAAATTATAATATCACTTTTATAATATTCATTTGTAATTCGTAGTGTAAATGTTTATTTTCAACTTAATATGTAATAATACCGGAGAGGTGTCTGGCTCTCTCGTTTATATGTAATAAGGGCTTAAACAAGAAGAGAATTTTTTTTACTGTTGTACAGGATTTAACCATTGAATTTTCAAACCCTAGGGTAGGCACGGCCGGTCGAATAATAAAATTATTATTTGGGCTGAATAAACTTTTAGGAGCTCATTTAGTCTTATACTTAAAGGCCGCGTAAGAGACGGCGCCTAAACTTCACCTATGATATAACTATGATTAAACACAACGACTGAGTATTCATACAGTTCTACTGTCTTGTCAGACACCATGTATTCCGTTTGTAAACTCCGCGCGAATGTTCGACATTTCCTACGTTTATATAGAGGGGAAGTTAAATTGGCTGGCAATGACGCAATTGTGCAGGGTTATGCTTCGTAATAAACTATCATCTTAAATTTATATTAAAGCGATCAAGTTGGCGAGTTGTCTGCAGCGTTTTTTAGTGTTTTATTCTCACTCTCATGAATGCCTACCGTTGTTGCTTGAGTACAGTAATTGTTTGAAATAACAAATAAAATTTCTATAGAAACCGCAAATGCAAAACCAAGAAACATGCACGATTACAATTTTCGCGTTTCTCTTGTTGATTTTCGCGCTGTCACAGATGCCTCAAGTCACTTTCTCACGGTTACCAGTGAGACGTCAACGAAGAGGTACAGTAATGCAAAAAATCGCAGCACCGGACGAATAATTTTGGATCAATGTAACAACGAAGGTGCAAAGTAGCGTAACACAAACAAGAGGTGTAAGTTGTAAACCTCATAAATAATTAGCTTTTCAAAAGTCTAGGGACTATAACGAAGACGAGAGAGAAGTGTCAAATCCCTCGTTGCGTACGACGCCAACGAGAGAGATAATCACACTACAAAATAGGATCCCATCTGTGTTTAGAATATGTTCGCTTGCTTGAGTACGCGTCCAATTTGTGAATGTTTTTGTAAAGTGCGTGACTCGAAAAAATGTATTGCCTGGTATGATGGTCAAATTGTAATTTTCTTGGCTAATGCTATAAGATCTGCATTAAAATTATTGTCGTTTTGAAATGTTGTGAAAATCAGTGATATTATCGGCTGCCAGGTGAGAATTGATATTCAGCATATTTAGTTGTTCAGAAGCAAAATTACTCCGCAATGATCGTTTTTAAAGGTAACAAACGATGCATAAGTTGATTTTCAGTTTAAAAGTGTCAAAATGTTTAGGGACGGCAACTATTTGGAGGTCGGTCGGGTACCGGAAACAAACAATTTTTATGTTACACCCAAGGAGGCGGATATTTGCGAGGATTTTTTCGTTCTCAGTAACATTACGATGTGTCTGTCAACGTTTACGAGTGAAGTTAATGGTGCACTAACTGCATTGCGACAATATTGTATCTCGCAACACCCTGGACATTTGATCCTTATGTATTCTGACATATTAATTGCCTCGCTATCCCGGCTATGCTATGAGGTCACGAGTGTAATCGGTTCCATCAAATAGTAACAGGAAGTATATAGCAGACAATTTCCAAGGTAACAAATACTATAATTTATGTGAAAATGCCCAAAAGATTTTAAAATTATTTACTATTATGTGACTCTTAGAAAAATGCAAATAATAAATAGCGGCTGACTAGCAATGTTGAAGTGAAATCACGTGTTCTCTAGTATAGGAGCAATGGGTATTGTAGACTCTGGTATCGAGCACTTACGCCCGTTATTATTGTGAGACAGTGATAGGCGATAGGTTATAGAAACCATATCCCAATCGGAAGAGGTGAATATGGCGAAGACTTACATCACAGCTGAAACCATATCCATTGGAAAGTATTCTACCTCTATCATAAACTGTTAAGACTACATACCTGAACAATTTAATATCTCTGTTTAACTTATGTGTTATATTAACTTTTAACTCTTACGTTATGAATTCACCAGGCACTGCTTATAGAATTTAAACATTAGTTATCGCTCGTATACACTGTAAAGCTTTAAAAGCAAAAAAACCTGCTCAGATTGAACACTGAAGCTGCTCCTTGAGATGGATGTAGAAAGACCGTAAACCAACACGAGTTAAAACAGTGAGAACCGAAGTGCTAGTCGAAACTGTCATGCCGATGTGTTTAGGTCCGCGTCTCTTCCGGCGAGAAATTGCCCGTATCCATATCGCGGAGAGAGGACGACAGGCTTTGATATAGAGGTACGAGAGTAGATTAGTGCATATTAAAAATGAAAGGCCTGCGCAGAGCGCAGGGCTGTATAGTTACTAGAATCATAAGTAACCACTGCCACAGTAATAGTCGTCGCACGTGCAGCTACTAAGCACACCCACGTCGGCTGATTGGAAGCAGCATAGTCAGTTCCTAGTTCGCGCAGCCTGTCTGCACATTAAACTTGCTGGCAAAAAAAAAAAAAATAAAGAACAAAAAAAAGAAGGGAAAGGGGAGAAAAAAGGGGGGAAAAACAAAAAAGAAAAAAAAAAAAAAAAAAAAAAAAACATTATAAAAAAAAAAAAAAAAAAAAAAAAAAAAAAAAAAAAAAAAAAAAAAAAAAAAAAAAAAAAATAGAAAAAAAAAAAAAAAAAAAAAAAGAAAAAAAAAAAAAAAAAAAAAGAAAAAAAAAAAGGAAAAAAAAGAAAAAAACAAAAAAAAAAAAAAAAAAAAAAAACACATAAAAAAAAAAAAATAAAAAAAAACAGGCCAAGTCAAGCGGGCAGCGCCCAACCTGCCACCTTCTTCCATAGTAGCATTCGAAGAATCTTTACGGCATGGATATTTGAGGATTCTGGAATTTGATTGGAATTTCTGTGATTGAGTGGCATTCTGGGCGGGCCGATTGTCAAAAAGTGGCGTTGTAGCTTGTTCAGCAAGTCTTCCGCGATTCAACGATCATTGAAGTGGCGTCACCTCAGAACACCGGAGTTGTAACTGATTGGAAAATGGTGAGTTTGTGGTCGCGTCCAGGCGGCGGCGAGTTAGGCACCATGACTTGTTCTTGACTGCCTATGTGCCTAGTACCAGTGCAAATCCCACTTTAGGCGACCTATGGTATCACTGAAGTGATGGCACAGTTTTTCCTGTGTATCGTCAACTGGATGCACAGACTAACTTTCCGTAAATATCAAGGAATGATGCAGAAAAGCCCTAACTAAACGGCCTCACACAATTAACACAACTTCGTGATACCGTAAGCCTAAAGGTTATATTTAATATGTCTTTATGACTTAGGGTTTAGGGTTAGGGTTTTTGCATCATTCCTTGATATACGAAAGTCTGTGCATCAGTGATGATACACAGAAATCTGGTGCATCACTTCGTGTTACCTTAAGTGGCCTTTAAAAAGTGATTTTCGCCCCTAGTGACCCCCCACCCCACCCACCCCCTGTCGCCCCTATACCCCCCCAACGCCAGCTTTTGACACACGAGGGTCCGAGTCTTTCGATGAAGCCACAGGGCACATGTAACGTAACCCGCTGGCCATAAATATGCTCTCTAATAACATTCAAGCTTTCCAAATTAACCCGGAGTAGATTCGCTAGCAACGCCCCTAAGGTGGACTGGCATATCTATGTTGTATATATAAATGAAGGGTGGCATGAAATCCGACGTCCGCGACTATACCACACTTTACAAAACGAACCGCGGAGTGGCAACACAAAAATCGTTAATCCTTTATCCTTGGCGCGCAACTTTCAAAACTATAACAATGACTAAACTTTTAATCTCAATCCGAAATTCGAACCACAAACAACGTACATCTTTACTGTTTGTCTTTTGAACGCAGGCTGCCGGAAAGTTGCATCCACAAACCGCTCACAATCAAAAATTCCAAACCTGTCTCACCAATCGTCGAACCGGCCATATGTGACGCACACACCGATTAGATTAGGGGTCGATTATCAGAAATACGGCTCTGCAAAGAACTCAACACCGAGGCGCCCTTTGGCCGATAAAAACATCTTATTCAACTACTTTCAAAACACACATTTGTCAACTAACGCAAGGTCCTGTTATATGTCATATAACGCATCAAATCAATATACCGAAATACCAGTGCACTTTCTTCGCGGTGCAGCATTTTTGAGATTTCTGACATCATAATTCAACGCATGAGCTTACCTCCGCAGTTGTGCGGTATAAATCGATGACGTCAGCAAATAATGGCCGTCGATGAGTTGAGACAGGGTTTGGAATCTTTTGATTGTGGCGGTTTGTGGATGAACTTTCGGAAGCTGTCAAAGACAAACAGTAAATGACCTGGTGCGATTCGATTTGTGAAAGATAAAGTTTATCATGTTATGTGTGTGAATGGCGCCCAAGAATATAAGGAGATTAA